TGGCTTTAATAACGCCCAAGTCTCTGAAGAGAGACCCATGTCCTCCCTCCCAACCGCTTCACCAAAGGCCGCTGCAGCTCGCCACAGAGAGGCAGCGAGCGTGCGGGGAGGGCGGGGCCGGGACACAAACACGCGGGAAAAGCCGGTGCCGCCCGGCGTCCTGCATCTTGTCATCAGTATAATGAACTCCCACCCGCGTTCCCCCCAAACATGGCAGGAAGGGCTGCGGAAAAAAGATGTCCCTTTAATAAAACGTTATCAACATATATCGTACACAAACTACAATGTATCATAATTACTTTTTTTTTTCCTCTCTTAATTCAGAACCAGACTACAAGGTAAGAAAAAACACAGAAACAGCTACAATGTTCCCAATAATCCGCACAAGGTCTTTTTTCAGGCAGATGATATCTCACATAATATGATATACATGGATCAGAAAGGGGAGAAACAAAGACCAGCTACGGGGAGGGGGCGGGGAGTAAATGTACAAAGAATTCGGGTGTCTCCGGGGCCAGACACAGAGGTTTCCGGGGGGTGCTGAGGTGAGGGAGGCCGAGTCACCCCTCCTGGGAGGGGACAGGCTCCACTGTCACGTGTCGGTTTTTAAAAATAAAAACAGGACCGGAAACAGCGCGTCTGTTTGGTGGCTGGTGTCCCCCCACCCCCACAGCTATTCCAAAGTCTTTCCATTCAGTTCCAAGCATATGCAGAGCAGTTCTGGTCAATATCCCGTCTTTGAAAAAGGAGGAAGAATCAACAGAAAAAAAAAACCCCAAACTCCAGCGCTACACTGCCAGCACACCGAGGACGCGAGGGCCAGGGGACGAGGACGGAGGTCAGTTTCATGTCCCAATCACAGCCATCCTGTCGGGGGTGGGCTCCCCACTCGCTCCAGACCACCACCCAGCTGGCAGGCTTCTCGCTGGGAAAACGGGTGGGGGCCGAGGCGGGGCTGCAGGGGGGTCCCTGGAGGAGCAGTCCTGGGAACACAGTGCACGCCACCACTGGCTGCAGCGAGTCTCCAGCGAGTCTCCGCCTGGTGGAGTCCTGAAGCCTGAACCAGGCGGCCTGGCCCTCCGGCCACATAACGGGGTGGGGGACATTCTGGGGTCCAAGCTGTGCAGCTGCTGTTGCCACCTTGCCCAGGAGAAAACTAAGCAAAAAAACAAAACAGTCCCCGCCCCTCCCTTGCCCATCTGCACAAGCCAAAACCCTCTAATGGAAAAGGGCGACTTCCATTTGCTTTCCAAAAAAGGCCCTTGGAAAGAAACCACTGATTGTAAACGGCCCAGTTTATTATTATCATTATCATCATTATTATTCTTAGGTGGCTACAAAGACAGCGTGAGATCGCACACTGAGACTAGCTCTCCGGTGGAAGGGCTTGGGTACAGACAGCAGGGCTTGGTGGGGGTTTTTTGTCCTTTGTCCTTTTTTTTTTTTTTAAAGAAGAAAGCAAAGAGGTTGGTTGGGGTGAAATGGGGTGGGGGTTTGCTAGAAGCTTCCTTTTTTAAAAATCCCCCCCCCCAACCCCAACCCCAGAAAACAAATAAAAAAAAATCCCAACAATGGCAAAACCCAAACAAAAGACAACAAAAAAGTGTCATGTACATAAAAGATCCTTTTGGGAAGGGCAAGGGGTGGGATTTTTCTGGTCAATGACTTGAAATATATTTTTATTTTGAGTTTTGTCCTTCATGTTTTATGGAATAAAAAGTTCGGCCTTTTTATTGCATGAAACTAAAATTGGGAAAGGTGGGGGAGTGGAGAGGGCAGGGTGGAGGGGGAGCGGAGGTGCCCCTCCCCCAGCGCCTGGGCAATGACACCTCACTTCTTCTTGCATAATTTCTGGCATCTTCCTGCCTGCAATGCCGGCTCTCTCAGCATCTCGGAGAAGAGGAGGGTCACACACTCATCGTCATGCTTGGAGAATACTGCACGGGGAGAAGCAGAGAAGGGGGTCGTGAGGGCCGGGGAGTGGGAGACTTGTGGGGGTCTGATTGCAGAGGCGGAGGCGACCAGCTGGGGGCCTGGCTGGGCTGAGACTGGGTGACACTGGGTGGGCAGGGCCAGGAGGCACCTCTCAGCAGCAGCCTGTGCCTGTAGGACTCACCCCCCTTCCCTCAATCACCCCTTTCCAGCTGAAGAGGCAGGGGCATTCCCCACTTATCCAAAATATCACAAAAAAAACTTTGCATTGGAAATGGCATCCCTTTTAACAAGGGCGGGCCTGAAAAGGAAAGATTAGGTTTACAGGGTGACTGTGCAAAACACCCCGTGTATTCTTGTATTACTTATTACTGGATTATTTTTGGTACGAACAACTGTGTACCTACTATTGCCACATACTGTATCTATGCGTGTGCACCTCAGGGTGTCTTTGTCTTTGTGAATCTCAACTGAAATGGAGATGGAATAATACCCGTGCATTGGGATTATGGCGGCCCAATTTAGGCTTTCTCCCCAATTTGCTG